TTTTAGTCTTCATCGCTATTGCATTCAGTTCCCTCTTCCATAGAGCTCTTGGAAACCTCCTAGTTAGCTCCTAGATAATGCCCACTCAGCATTTATTTCTCCACTGGATAAAAAATAAAACTGCAATCTGAAGATAATCCCATAGGTAGACTAATTTCACATATCACACACATATCTACAAATAAGTGAATCATATTCTGGCTTTTTCTGTTGTGAGCATCCAGCATATTTCCAGTCAACAATTTATGAATTAGCATATATTGTGAATTATTATATTATTCTTCACTTAATAACTTACTGTTAACAAACCATGACTTAGTGCAATGTTTGTAGTTCCTGATGCTGATAGAAAAGATTGGGCTATTCCTGTTGGAAGTAATAACTTTTTCTTTCCATGCTAATCCTAGCAGTAATCACAAATGCTCCATTCTATGCTGCCTTATCTTGGCAGCAGGTAATCAGTTGTATATCCAATACTTGTCCAACACTCTGATTGAAAGGCTGTGATTGCATGATCTACTGACGCACAAACCAGCTTAATACATTTTTCTCAACAGTGATGTGTAAAACCAGCCTATGTGGTTATTTTATGGTTCTGTGTGCTGCGTGAATCCAGAACATTGAATAAATTGTGATACTTTTAGTCATTAATGAATATGGCATGAGAATGCAGCCAAAGTTGCACTCACTCTCAGATTGTGAGCTTTGTCTAGTTTAAATCCTTAAAGTGGATTTACAAAGTTCAGGTTCTACGGCTCTCGGTCCTCTTGCAATGTTTCCAATGTCTAATGAAACTAAATGAGACATTTGAGTCAATTGATTTAGAACCCCTGTAAAGCCTTTCATAAATTCTGCTGTTGTGGCTCTTAAATAGAGAGAGGGCTTTCCTACAGATGGGAATCAGGTACCAAGCAGAATTTTCTGCAAGACTCCTCTCCCAGCTCAGACCAATAAACACACATTGCATCTGTACCATGTTATTTATGTGCAGTGGTGCTTAAGAGTTTGTGAACCCTTTTGAATTTTCAGTATTTCTGCATAAATATGACCTAAAACCTGACCTGTTCTCCACACAACTCCTAAAACTAGGTAAAGAGAACCCAATTAAACAAATGAGTCAAAAACATTATACTTGTTCATTGATTTATTGAGGAAAATGATCCAAAGTTACATATCTGAGTGTGGCAAAAGTATATGGGCAGCAATAACTTCAACTAAACGTTTCCAATAACTGTTAATCAGTCCTGTACATTGGCCTGGAGGAAAGCAAACTTCTTTCATTCCCATTATTTGCCACAAAATCCCTAAGCCACAAAATTGCTGTTGGGAAGTGGGATTAAGGGTAACCTGTTATTTTTACCCTTAAGCTCCAGTCAAAAAAGACCGAAAGAATCAAGACTTTTCAGACCTGGCCCTGCCAACGACATTTTATGCAATCCTCTGGCTGGTTGGGAAATTGAATTGTACCTCATCCATTGAAATATTGCCCATTCTGGTGTAGAGGCCAATGAATGGACAACCAAGGTCCTTCTTGATGGACAGTTCCTAGCACTGGCCATTAAGACACACAATGAAGTAATTTTTTTCCTGAACAGATTTTTGTGGGGAAAAAAATCAGAAGTCATAGGAAAATAAGAAATGTTACAAGTAGAAGAAAAGTTTATTTGGCTTCCTATTAATATTTGGGTGCTGTTGTTTAATCTGTGAATAAGGCCAGACTCTTTCACTGTAGGAACCTTGCTGGGATAGGGCTTCAATAGAAGATGCTTTGTTTTGTTTGTACAAGCAACACAGTCTCTTGAACAACAGAGAGACACAAGAATTTCTACAATTTCTGCTTTAGAGATGGGAGGAGTTGATGTTCTCCTATGCATCTCAGTACTATTCAGTGTGATCTCCCTCCTTGATTTTGCAGTTTTGTACCTGCACTAGAATTAATAAACTCATAATTTTCAGAAAACAACAAGGACAATCTTGTTTTAGTGAATCCTAAAATCAATCGCTGTTCCAGGAAGGGCTACTCCAAAATGATGCGACCGGTAATTGATATCATGGATTTCACAACACCCATTGGATAAATGAATCAATAGCCTCTCAGCTACAGGAATTTTTTGTCAATATTTCTGTATTCTCTCAATCCAGATTTGATTATAATTTGTTCAAAAATGTCTTCAGGCAACATGGAAACACCTTTTTTTCCAATATGAAGTCAAGAGGCTGAGGTTGTACAATGCTACTATCCTTGGCTTTTTCTCCATAGCAACAACATTTACATCGCTTCCATCAAAAGATTCTTTTGTGCCTCCCTTAACTGCTTTATCTTTCTCAGTGACAACCTGAAGCTATTATGACTCTGCAGTAATTTGCCAATATTTTTTTCTATCTCTTAATTACTTCATTATTTTTCATTTGGCATTCTTGAAGTTAACAAAGGAGTCAGACTATACCCAAGATGAATCTGTACTTAGACCGTGTGTGCTTGGTTCCTATTTGCTAAATAGAAGCCAGAGCCAGGAGTTGAGATTGGGACCATAACTTGGGAAGAGAGAGGATTTAACCCTTTTTCTCCAGACACCTCTATGCACAGAGAAATATTTTATGATAGCATTTTTCTGTGGGCACATCCACACAGCCATGTTTATATACTTTCCTTCCATCCTTGAAATGGGAAGAAATCATGTCAGTATAATAACTGTTGCCTCTAGAACTTACATTTTTGCAGCAAGGCCAGCCTTGTTGCCTCCCTCATGGAAAGTAATGTCCTTACTTTCAGGGCAGGGATTGGCTCTTCTCTTCCAAGCCTAAATTGGGAAAGAGAGTTTTGTTCTACTGCCAACTTTGAACTGGAAGGCTCTGCATCTGAGGCAGCCCCTTCTCTTCTTCCACAGGCTGGAAATCACATTGCTGTTATTTTGTTAATGTTCTCTCTATATAAATTTCCCACCTAGAAGAAGAAACATGCCTTGGAAAAAGTTTGCCCTTGTGAGTGAGGGAGGAGAGGAGTTGCTATGTGAGTCTTTTATAGGTGTGCACTAATGAAAATATTGATGTCCTGGAAGAGGCAGCCAATCAGCCAGTCAGTTGCAACGTCTTTACCATGCATTCTCTTCTGACAACACTTTGGTGGATTGACAGGAGAGCCGGATACCCTGGCCAGCCTTTTTCAATGCAATTTCTTCTTCTGCACGTTCTTCTGCAAGGAACCAAAGTACCTGATGATGCGAACAGGAGCTCTGGTTGTGCGTTTATGCAACAGATGCAGGCATTGGTTCCTAAAAAGAAGCCTACCCACCTGCACTTTAAACATGCTCTCCAACTCTCCTGCTCCTCCCCTTTTTGTCAGTGAGACACAACAGCCTCTGACTGGGAAAGTTGACCAGAATGACAATGAGGCATCTAGCAGCTGATTCCTTTGAGGAGGCATCCAGAGGTGGCTGGAAGGATAATGAGATGGGCAGGGAAGGAAGGAAGGAAGGAAGGAAGGAAGGAAGGAAGGAAGGAAGGAAGGAAGATAGACATATACATACACATACACCCACACACACACACACTCTGTGTGTGTGTGTGTGTATAAAATTCCTCTCCCAACTCAGGATTAGCTGCACAGAACAGCTCCTACACAGAGTAGTCTATCTCAGAGAATGAAAGTCCACCTCGAGGGAGAGGCAGTGGCAGTGACTTGGGCTTCTGTCTAGGCCACTGAACTTCCACCTTTCTCTCCTTGCTAGGATGATGAAGGAGGATATTTTTAAGACCAGTTGAAAAAGTCCAGCATGATCTTCCTCTGTCTCTCCCCACTTTCCTCACAGCAGCTCTTTGAAAAAAGGGAGAATCACTTTCCCCTTGGGAAGAACAGACTTGCCTGAGATTTGTACATATCAATCTTCTTGGTTTTTTTATCTTTCTTACAAAGCAGCGCTCAGCCCCAAAGGATGTAGCACTGAAGTTAAATTGTGATTCTGAGGAGGAATGACACTGAAGTTTTACAAAGGCCCCCTTCCTAATTATTAAACCAGAAGGAAAGCAAGCTGCTTAATGAATGACACGCTTGCACACTCATCTGTGGCCTTCATGGAAAAAAAAGAATCTGGAGAAATATCTGATATCACTTCCCCCCGCAGAAAGGCTTCTCACCCAAGAAAACCCTTACAAATTGCACACTGCACCTGCTGGATGCAGCTAACCAAACTTGGCAACTTCTCTCTGCTTCCACTCTTCTTTGAGAGAGCAAACACCTTGTAGGTTGACTGGTTGACCTGTTTAAAAAAGAAGAAGAAAAGAAAGAGATTGTGGAATCCAAGGCTTTGGTCTCCCTAACAGCGAAACAGCAGTGCAGAACAAGCTAGACAGAAGAGGATCATCCAAAAACAGAACTGCTGGACTAATTGGAACAGGGCAGATTGCCAATCTGGGTCATGCCATCTCTTCTGTGCTTCAGTTGTTCACGTGGAAGATCTTGACCTGGCCTAAAGGAGAAAAGACCAGTTTCATGACAGAATACCTTAGTCAAACTTTGGCCCATGGCAGGAAAGCTGGCAATGAGATAGAAGCAATGTCATGAGGACATTCCCTAGCAAACAATCAGTGGAACATCTCTGCACCATAACAAGGAGACTATGTGAATAAGTGTGGGTCAAGACCCTCAGGAGGCTTGCAAAACAATGGATGGACGGTTGCCTTCCTCATAAAAGTTGTCAGTTTGACCCAACAGTATGATGAATGAAGCTTAAGTATTCTTTTTGTTCTATTAATGCCTTTCAGAGGAGGAATAATCACCCATGGCTCTGATCCTCACTCTGTAGAGGGAGTTATGACAGAGGGGAAGGGCGAAGGGAAGCAGAGATGAGGAAACAGTACAAGTGGAGGGTGGGACTTACAAGCACAGGCCAGAAGGGAAACAGCGGATGGACTGTGATTGCTTATCTCAGTGAGGCTATACTGGGAAAGAGAGTGCCAAAAGCAGCTTAAAGCCTGCTACTATTTTGCTAGCTGCAGCAATTTAAGAGGAGAAGCAGATTTAAGGCAAGAAAGTACAGAACTCTTTTCTTCCTGACTTTGGCAAATGAGAGTTGCTGCCTTCAGAATGAAATTCAGATTACAGGAGTTATGCAAAAGGTATCAATCCCATCCTTCCTATTAAAAAGATGGTTTTAAATCTTATTGCAGTTTTGTTCCTTGTTTCCAAGTAAATGATTTTGTTTTATAAAGTTGTAAGGTGATTCCATTGCTCTGTATGATATATAGATTAAAATGTAATTATTGAAAGTGGTATATTCATTTCTTGCTCAACTCTAATCCCAAAGAAATTGTTTTATTCAAGGGTGGGGTCATACAAATTCATTTTATTATTAAGAATGCTTTATATCATTCTGGAAATAGACATTATTAGAACATACAGAAATTTAATTGGCTTTGAGTAACTACATATAATGGTTTATTTGGTGTAAATTAATTATTCTTGCTAGTTGCTCTTGTGTCTAGAGTAGAAAGATTTGAAAATCTTCAATCTATTTCCCCAAATGGGTTGTTTTTAATCCATGCATAGACAAAGCTTCAGATCATTTGAAAAGTAAATTATGTTACCGTAAGCCACCTGAATTTTTTTAAAAATGAGAAGAGGTTTTAAATAAATAAGGAAAACTTAACAGATCAGCCACTAAAACCTCTCCATCAACTCTATGGAATTTATACCATTTCTCTACAAGTTGTCTAAAGGCGATCTAGCTTGTAAATTAAATGCACACCACTTTGTCCTGCAGTTGAACCCTCTCAGAACCCTCCCTAATTTAAGGAAATTTATGCCCACGTTGCTCAGTTTTGTACAAAGGCTACCTGGCTTTCCACACTGACCAGCGGCTTTGTTTTGCACAGTGCAGCTCTTCTGAAACCCTGCCTGATTGGTTCCTGTGGGCAGCCACCCTAGTAGGATGGTCGGAGGACTTGAACAGCCACTTAGGTTAATCAAAAGCTATCAACAAATACTGCATAGGCACAAGTAAAGTTTAAAAAGTGAGAGAAAACATCTTTATTTCAATCTAATCCTCAGGTGAACCTGCAGAAATGAAAATTGACATTCATTGTCACATTCTGCCTAAGGAGTGGCCTAATCTAAAACAGGTAACAATGGCAGGGTTTGGATATTTGGTACAAAAGCACTAGGAAGTTTTACAGTTCCTGATTGTTTTTGATGGTTTCAACAGAATTTTATCTTGCATATTTCCAAGTTTTAAGTATTTCCTCCTTTTTTTTCCCCTTTAAGACTAAACTCCCATGAAATGAGGAACAAGGTGGATTTTCATTTTTAAAAGCTTCTGGTACTTTAACACTGTGTCTGTCAGTATTTTGAACTGTGGTGCTCATTTGAATCTATTAAACAAAGGTATCCTGCTAATTGCTTGGTAAAGCAGATAGTTTGGGTGGATGTGTCTGTGGGTGTCAGCTGTTTGCTAGAAAAAGGGGGGAGGGGTTCAGAGTATTTATTTATTTGCAGCAATTACACCCCATCATATTCAAATTATAACCATTAATAATTTGTAGTTTTAGTTTTATTATGGCCAAAAGAAAATTACGTGGGATGAATGTTGAGTTGGAGTACTGTTCAAAGAGAAGTTTTGCTAATGGCACCCTCAGAAATCTCTTTAAATTGCTCTTAGTACATCTTTTTCAGCCTTATTCAGAATCAGTGAAAAGCAATGGACCCATTAAATTATTGCTGTGCAATGCAATTCTAAGCATATTTATTCACTGGAGCATATAGTGTATTTGGCATTGCAGCTAGCTTCACTAAAAATAAATAGAATGAGTTTAGCTGAGTGATAGAATGACATTAACAGTATAAATACAGCTTTGAGCATTGTATGATCTTTTTACAATAGGTTGTGATGCATTCATGAATAGCAGCATCTGTGTGATTGCAAAAATGACAATCCACTTTTTACAAGTTAACTCTATTTTCTTATATCAATTGTGTTTCACTTTGACAAGACTTATATAAATCATGCCTGATACAAAGCTTCAAACTGATTATCAACAATATTAGCAACAGTATTATATTAATTGCATTAGCCAAAGATCCTCAAATACAAATAATTTAATTTGTGGATTTGACATGCTGTATTGACATCCTTTTTTTTTTTTCCATTTCAGCATTACAATTACCTAGATTTTTTTTTTTCTGCCATAGGAAATTATCCATATATCAGATTTGCAAAACATGTGGCAATCAAAATTTTGGCTAACAGATTATTTGTATTACATACTTCAACACAACTGCATAAAATCTTTGATATTGTAAGAGATAAATAACACCACTTATTAGTGACCTGGATAGCTCACTTTCTTGTCCCCAAGAGAAGCTATTTTTAAGTGTACTCAAGGATGAAAGTAGAAAGTGCCCAAAGGAAGCAATAGAGAAATCCAAAATTTAATGATCATTACATTTAACATTTTTGAAAACATCCATTTAAGATTTAAAAAATATAACTTTAAAATGGAAAAGAAATGAAGAAAAGCCCATGAAAAAAAGCTCAATTAAAAATGAACTTGCTCAGTGATTGTTGAGAAGATAACAATCAAGGGGGTTAGTCATAGAATGGAATGGCCAGAACAAGAAGGGGGGAGGGAAATAAGGGAATAGTCTTCGAACCTTGTAAATTTGTCAGAAATATTTGTCTGTCATCCTGTTATAACAATAGGTCTCTAGGTTCTGCAGCAAACTCAAGTTCACATCAACAAAATATTTGGACATGAAACAATACTAGATGTACCAATTTTGCAAGAGTGTTTAATAACTCAATGACCTGCCCTTATATTCATGTAGATCAATTAATGAACATGTCACTGTTGCTAAAACATCTTGATTCTGCACCTTTTTAGCTTAACTCAAATATAGATTGACGTCAGTTGAAAATTACATTGCAGGATTTATGCCAGGATATTGTACTGATTTCTTAAAATGCCTCTTTGTGAACCTGTTTATGTAGAAAGAAAAAAATGCTGAGTATTTTTTCAGTTTGTCATAATGAGATATTTCAAACTAAAGGAAAGCAAAATAAAGGAAAACTGGCCTTATTCCTGTAGTGATATTTTCTGCCGTCAGAAGGGTTATAATCCTCTTTGGGAGAATCAGGAGATATTTTGGTTGTGTACTTGAAGCCTTTTGCTGCTCTTTAAATATTAATAGAAAAAGGTGACCTTCATCCTTACTATTGAATCATAGAGGCTGAACAGAGGATCAATACATGACTACACTAATTATTAACAAATTACAGCTCAGCCGAAATTTTCATTTCACTAAATCTTTATTTTACTTCTGGTTACATAATGAAGACTGGCAATTCCACCAGGGTTAGGATTGTGCAAAAATCTGTTCTACTGAAAACCTCATTATATGAGGGTTAGGCAGTCAAACAGTAAAAGATGTATCACGGGAAGTAAATCTCTCCTTCAATTAAATTATAGCAAAATTTATCACACCTCTTCTGTAACAGATTATTATCATGGACATTGCAAGAAACCAGAATTTTGACAGTATTGTCCAAGGCCACCCTATATGGAAATGTTCTATGTTTTAAAAGTGGGATTCATTCCACTCCGTTGGAAAAACAGGAAAGAACCTGATTTTAAAATCAAAAGGACACATAGGGTTGGACATTAGATTGTTGGCTTGTATTAATTGCCTTTCGGTTTCAATTCATTACATATGTCAATATGATCTTGGAAAGAAATCATTAAAAACTTTGATATGAATATTCAATTATATTCCTAAAATATGAAATTTCTCATTTTTTGAAGAGCTTTGGTTCTATCAAACCTGAAGTACAAAGAAGAGAATAATTTTTATTTCTTTTTCTGTTAGTTTTTTCTTCTTCTTTTTTTATCACACTTAATTTATGCATTTAATCAACAAAATACCAAGTGTTTTTTTTCCTCTCTCTCTCATCACTTCATATAACCTGTTGTATTTCTGTTGGTGTTGTAGTTTTCTGTATTCACTATTAAAAATAATAAATGGTTTATTTTAATTTTTTTAAAAAGGAGACATAAATAATTATATTCCATTTCACTATAATTAGAATAAGTAGTCTTGTATTTAAGTATTTCAGTTTGGCTCTAAGCAATGAAAAATGTTATAGCAGCTTTCTCAAACCTAAGGATCATTCCAGTTAAAATCAAATATATCTGGAGGGTATGACACTGCTCCAATACTAGCTTACTCTACAGGTCTTAGAGCCAGACTAGATTGTGATATTATAGGAATACACTGGAAGGAAGTCTAGGAGAGAAACCAATTTGGATCAGGGCCACATAGCAAAGAGGCAAAGAACTTAAATTTTCCCCTGAAGAAATCACTCCCTAGAATGCTATCAACCGTGGAAGAAAAAGCTCAAAGGTGCAGTAACAACACCTATATATTTTTTTCCTCTCTACAGGTGGTAATTGCTCCTTTTGTGTTTGTGCCTTCAAGACAGTCTTACCTCCTGGACAAGTCCATACAGTTTTTTTTGGAGGGGGGCAGCATTTTTCAGAAGTGGTTTGCCGTTGCCTTTTTCCTAGGGCTGAGAGAGAGTGACTGGACCAAGGTCACTTTGTCCTTAAAGCAGGACTAGAACTCACAGTCTCCCAATTTCTAGCCTGATACCTTTAACCACTACACCAATAAATACTTTAGGAGGATTGATCTGCTGTGGTCAAATAGCACAGGTGACTGGTAACACCTCTTTTCCATCAGGTGATATCTCTGGCTCTCTTCCATGTTAAAATTTATTTTCTCTGCTAACACACCAATGCATAAGCATATGATCAAGATAGTTTCATAGGTGGCTTTTTTAAAACAACAACAACAACAAAAACAAGACGGAGGAGGAGGAGAGACATAATGAAATCTAACGTTGGGTTTGGCTTAATGGCAGTTTTAGCCTGTGCTTGCGTTTTCTGATGCCCTCTGCTGGACAAAATATCACCAATAATTCCTATTGTTTTTGCCTCCAGCATAACAAAAAGGTACTGTAGATTTTGTGAAGTTGATCTTATTTATTTTCTGGTACTTTTGGGGTTGCATTTAGAGCTGAATTTAGGTCTAGCATTAATGTGAATTTAGTTATATTTCCATGAGACTCACAGGCAACAGCTTTCTATATGTCCAACTATCAATTATATTATTTGATTTGATTATTTTAGGTGGACTCCAGAATAAAACCATAAAATATATACTGATGATGTAACATATCAACATTTTAAGTAATAAGGAAGAGGATAAGGGATAAGATATAAGATATCCTGTGGAATCCAGTCTAACAGATCTCTTGTGATGTTCAACTAGTCCTGTTTCCAGCAGGGCCAGGCTGGAGTAATGTAAACACAGTGAGATTTAAATATAGAACTGCTCTGAACTAATCTAGTATAAAAAAGGTAATTGATCTTTGACAAGTACAGAGTTATTAATTGTTTGAATTTGGACTCTATACTTTAGAAGAGTTTTCAGGTATTCCAGATTCAGTCCTACACCTTCGGTCATAATTTGCCTTCTAGTTTGTCACATAGCCTAATACATAAACCATGTCCAATCTACATTTGTTTAACCATGATGTGTTAGAATTTCACAACACAGTAAGTCACGTTAGGGTTCACGAACTAGGTCATGTTGGCTTAAAATCAAGCAAATAATTTCTCTTTTACACTCAGACTGTATAATATATAACATTCAGTGTACGCAAACTGTTTGAAAGCAGTGGCTGCAGTCTGAGTGTGGCTGATTGAAGAAAATGATTGATAGTCAAATTTCAGTGACCATCTGACTATTGCAGGGTGAGGAGATGGGATATGAGAGACAGCCATAATCTTTGCTGCATGTTTTGCTGTCATTCATCAAGTGGCAAAAGAATACAGGAAGGAAACATACTGGGCCTAACAAGACAAGCACAGGTGTGTTGAAGGCCTATCCCCTCATTGCTTGCCCTCTTTCCTAATATGGGGCAGGATAATCCTTGGAAAGAATGGTGTTTTATTAGACTTTCTTAACCCTAATCAATAAATGCAAGAGTTGGGGACTTAGGCACCTTTACATCAGTGCAACTGGAGGATGAAAGTATTGTCCATATCTGCAAAGGGGAGAAAAACAAATGTTTTAGAACTACAGAGCATTCCACATGGTAACATTCAAGAGCAGATTGTAAAGCAATTGAAGTATAAGCATCCTGAAAACAATGCAACAGTTATCAGAAGCCAGGCTGGGTTTGTCGAGAGGAAGTCATTTTTTGATTGGGTAATTTCTTCAGTGAGAGCCAGTTTGGTGTAGTGGTTCAAGCATTAGACTAGAAACCAGGAGGCCATGAGTTCTAGTCCTGCCTTTGGCATGAAACCAGCTGGGTGACCTGGGCCAGTCACTTTCTCTCAGTCCTGGGAAGAAGACAATGGCAAGCCACTTTCAAAAAACCTTGTCAAGAATACTGCAGGGATTTTGTCTAGGCAGTCACTAGGAGTCAAAAACTGATTTGAAGGCACCAAAAAAAAAAAAAAATCCTTCAGTAAATTGTGAAAATGTTAAATATATTTCAATTTCAGCAAAGCATTTGACAGATTTGACAAAGTACCACATGTTATTATGATTACCAAATAAGGTAAGTATGGGTATATTAATTAACAGAAAGCTGGTTAAAATTGTGCTCACTGTGCTCATTAGAAGTTGGAATTAAAATACAATACAGTCATGATAGGTTAAAAAAATGGGCCAAAACTCATTGACTGAAATTTAATAGAAATCAAGGGATACCTGGCATTGTAATAGTGAAAAAAGGGCTATTTTACTGCATACTTAATGTAACTCAGCAGTAGGATGTAGCTGAAAAAAGCATAGCCTCCAACTCAACTTTAAACTGTGCTAGTAAGACCATTTGTATTGTGTTCAGTTTTAAGCACCAACTTTCAAGAAGCATTCAGAAAAACATGAACAGGTTCAGAGCAAGGCAACAGGGATAGTCAATGAATCAGAAATTAAGTCCTGTGTAAAGTAATTGAAATTACTAATAAGGTTTAGCCTTGAGAAAAGATTAATGGGGGATATTAGGTAAGTTGTAGGAATTAATCCTTCAAACCAAAAATAATTTGTGGTTTCCAGACATTACCATCTGGTCTCAAAATAATTTGGAACATCACCTTCAGAACGCCACAGACTACTTCTGGTTCCAAGTTAGAAAACCACTAGACCAGTGTTTCTCAACCTTGGGAACTTTAAGATGTGTGGACTTCAACTCTCAGAATTTCCCAGCCAGCCATGCTGGCTGGGGAATTCTGGGAGTTGAAGTCCACACATCTTAAAATCCCCAAGGTTGAGAAACACTGCACTAGACCATCCTAGAATTGCTACATTGGCATGGTACAGAGGAGGGGTGGAACGTTCCATTCCCAGAACAGTACATTTTACTCATATCTAGGGTATATGATAGCGTTTTTCAGATACCTGAAAAGATGTCATACAGAAGAAAAGCAAGAAGTGTTTCCTTATTCCAGAATAATGGATTTACATTAAGGATTTTGATTCAGTGTTATAAAATACTTCCTAACAATAAGAGCATTTCAATAGTGGAACTAATAACACATGGAGTCCCCTTCACTGTAGAACCATCTATTAATTATTTTTATCTGGATTTTTGCACTGACTAGAGGCTTGGACTTGATATCTTAAATTTCCTCTTTTGACTCTATGACTGTGAACCCAAGCATTATGTTCTCAATTCCTGTTACCATTGCTTTTCTAATATATGTATATTTATAACTATATCTTCCTCTTCACAGAGATATGGATATGGAGGATGGATCCAGTTGGAGCACGACCATAAGGTAGGTTATGTTTCTGATCAATATGATACATTACTAAATAATTATTAAGATATATATTTGAATTTTGGAAAAGAATACTCTTTTAGTCATGCTGAATCAGGCCAAAGGTCGGTCTAATTCAGCATCTGGTTTCCAAAGCAAGACTTCTAGAGTTTCCAAAAAGCCTATAAAAATAGTATTAAAGACAATATCATTTCCTGGCACAGGAGATATCCAGTAGGAATAATAGCATGGAACCATACTGATAGATATATTAAGATAATGGACACCACCAAATCTGTTAGTGAATATCACTAATTAATTTGGTGCTATGTGAACAAGTACTTCTTTTCTGCTACCCTGAATCTGATGACAATTAGTTGCATTTGAGTGATTTCACACTATGGTATTATAGAAGTCTATTTGGCCATTTAGGATTTTGTTCTTGATCAATACATTTATTAGATGGCAGCAGTGAGGATCACAGAATAAGGAGGATCAATTTAACAGATTTGCTCACCTTTCCTACTTCTCACAAGGCAAATCTCAGCCCTTGTCATCAGAAGAGCAGAATCCCTTTCATTCTAGCCTTGCATAATTAACAATGTAATATAAAATAATATTTTATATTATATTGTCTAAGATGTCTGACATTGCTTCTGATTTTTGTATTTGTATAGTTTGACTAATTTTATATGTTCTCTGTTTTAGCTGATATAAATCGTTTAACTCTGTTACCCAAAGTTGACTGAGAAATGTAGCTGAGAAAATATTCTTCACTGAGACTGCCCAAGAGTGCCAGAGAAATATAATCAGTAGAACATGTTAAACAAAAATTACAAACACATGAATGGTGTCATGAATATTAGTCACTTGTTATTCCTCAAAGTAAATAATTGCAGGGATTTTTTTTAGAACCTGCCCAAACCTGGAAAAATGAATATACATATATTTTAGGAGCACAACATAATTATAAAATTAGCTCTGTGACCTAAAAATGACACTGTGCCTTATCTTTTCATGGAAGTAATCATATACATATTTGTGAAACTAGATTCTACTCTCTATTCACATAAATACACAATTGCATGTCAGAAGCTGACATCTTCCTTTATAAATATGCACTAGATGCCAGTTCTCTTCCCATTCCACAGATTGCCCAACCTTGCTCTTAATGGACAGGAGAGCAATTAAATAAATAATCTATGGAGGGACTATGAAGACTATTGATGTCCTTCTCAATTTTCCCTAGCAATTATTCTCTAGGGGAGAAACAACAACCAGTGTATGTATTTGAACAAATATTTCAAACTCTAAGAAGCTTACTCCCATGGCTTTTGTCCTCTGAATCTTTGTCTGAACCATTTTTAATGCAGGTCTCCATAACAACCATTGCCTGAATCTTATTTGTTGTAAGGCCATTTCTCAACTAGTCACTCATAGGATTTTCTAGAGTCAACCAAACAATCTTTGTGCCACTAATGAGGATAAGCTTTATATTGCTTCAATGACGGTTCAGTGAGTCAAAAAGCTGCTATAAATGACTTGTGAGGAAATGGCCTTAAAGACCATTTTTTTTACGAGCTGAAGAAATGTAATATTTGCTGTCTTCTCAATAGAATACAGTTTAGAACATGCCCTAGAGTTATGTTTGTCTAGAAATGTAAGAAAATCAAAGATATATCAATTCTATAAGGATCACATAAAGGTTACATCAGTCTTGAGATGTAGCAAAAATAAAGTTCTACTATTTATATCAGGAATGATTAATGCAACTTGGGAATCTGTTTGGACTCACAGTTCTTGCTTGAAGTAGGTGGCTGGTGTGGCCAAGAGGACTTTTGGACTTTTGCCCAATTGCTTCTACTATGCTAGTTGTGACTATTCCTGGATCACGACACCCTGTTCATCATCACTCATGCCCACCTCCTTTCTGGATGATTGCAATTTGCTCTACATGCCCTTGAAGACCATGGACTGCCCTTGAAGACCATCTAGAAACTTCAACTGATCTGAAATACAGCCTCTCAAGCAGTCATGGGAGTTCCAAAGTTTTTCCATATAACACCCCTACTTTGAGAGTTGCACTGGTTCCTGGTTCAGCCTCTAGGTGCAATTAAAGGTGCTGGTTGTTACCTTTAAAGCTATATATGTCCCAGGCCTAGCTATCTATGGGATTGTCTATTCCTAGTGGCTCCTGTCTTCCCAATAAGACTGAGCAGGATAAGCTCACTCTGGGTTTCTTCCCTTAGGGACTGTCAAGCTGCCCCACTTAATTTGGAACAGCCTACCACCCAAGATCAGACTGGCCTCCATCCTGCTTTGTTTCAGGCTGTGGAAACCTTTTTAAGAAAGCCCTAGGAGGGTATCTAAGATAAACTGGAATCTGATCTCTGGCCTATGGTTAGATGATTTATTATTGGTGGACTTTAGTTTCTTCTAAAGTAATTTTTGATGGACTGAATGGCATGTAAGCCCCAATAAATCAATAAATGAGCAAATAAATATATTCCTATAACAAAGCAAAACTAGAAGAATGTACTGGATAAAATAAGTACTGAACTTGTTAAATAACAACACTGGTGCATCTGCCAATGTGCAGAGAGGAATTCTAATGTTGCTGCTATAGATATTTTCTCCATTTCCCTCTGAAGACCAGAGCTACCTCCTATGCTAAATGCCCTTAAGGAATCTTTGGATTCTAGTGGTTTGAAATACAATAAACAAGCAAACAGACGATAACACTGTAGATAAAGGACAATTGTATGACACCTTCTTCAACACTGAGGCCAGATTAGGAGTGTATCAGGTGATTTATCTGCTTGACAATTTGGCAAATTGTTGATGGAGGGTTAGATCCAAAGTTAAGTACAAACAAACAAAACAAACACAGATTTTATTTATAATGCAGTCCCATCCAGGATGCAATCCAGTAAATATTAATAAATAAGAACTAAACAGCAGTTAAAAGAGTATTTTTGGCATTGGGTGGCCTTAAGAAATCTAATAAATAAATAAAATTACACAAAAAGAAAAAAATCCATACACATATACACATACACACACACACACACACACACATACACACACACACACATACATACCATATTTACAATCACAGTAAAAATAATGCTACTCAGTAATAAAAGCCTTACAGTTAACAGGAGAGCACTAGTGGAGGTTTATTCTTCTGTTCTGAGCTGTGGTCTCAGCCCTATAGAGGTTCTATTCCAAAGCTAGAATCCCATTAAACCAAACAAGGCAGGCCAAAGAAAGATACAGACTTCCTTCTGGCAGGGTAAGACAGATACATTCAGAATTCAGATAGCACCCTGAACAGTTTGGTGCAGCCCCAAGCTCACACTGTTTTAGCGACGGACGATGTTGCCAAGAGCTTTGTTTTAAATAGAAAGCAAAACAGTTCCATCTAGGTGGCAAACATCACTTCTGGAGTTCAGAAATCTACTAAAACAAACCTAGCCTGCTTTAATAGTTGTCATTCTGATGAAACAAAAGATACTGTGGTTTCCATGGGGTTTCTGAACTGGAGTAAGCGTGAGAGTGCTCTTTTCTTTTGCATAGGGAGAGAGGCTAAGAGTGGTAACTGAAAAGGAACGTGAAATTCTTATTCAGAGAGTAATTCTGGATTATTAACCTTTGTAAAATAGTCTGTTTGCATTATTGTTCTTTTTTACATATTAATTATCCCCCTAATCCTAAGACTTTTAGAATGTACAAGTTGCTTGTTAAAAGAAAAAAGAACTAGAAGCAAGTTAAAAGTCATCATCAATGGTTGAAACATCTCTCAATACCAACAGCAGAAAATGTCTAGATTTAACATATCCAAAAGGAAATTAATTAAAGACTTGGCTGAATACAAAGATCATAACAGGATGCCATAAGCACCCTACAACCTTCCTTAACTGGTAAGCTGTAACAAAAAATGCCTTTCCCTAGTTTCTAAGTAAGTCAGGTCTAGCCCTACATTCAAAGCCCTATATTAAGCAGGAAAATTGCCATTTTAGCCAACAGATTCTTGCAAGTGGGAGAAGCTAGTGAGGACTGGAGGGCAAAGCTGTCTGCTCTTCATCCCCCAAGTCAGACTGTTGCATTATGAACCAAGAGAAGCTCCTATTCCTTAGTTGGCAATCCATTAGACCAGTGTTTTTCAACCTTGGCAACTTTAAGATGTGTGGACTTCAACTCCCAGAATT